TTCCTCAATGCGACTCGTCACAGTGCTAGTAGACAAAGGCACATGTGCTATCTTTTCTACAGCAGTCTCTCCTAGAAGTTCACGGCAAATATCTTTAGTGGAGGGCAAGATCAATTCTTCAGGAAAAAAATTATATTGTACAATATGTCTTATGTTTCTTATAGCACATCCTTTCTATCAGTAGCTAGATCCTATACTGCTAGGGGCAGCTAAGATGTTACTGATAACATTCCCTTCCATTTTCACTCCTTTAATTCCCTATTTATTATATGTTTTAATTACCAATTACGTATTCATCACAGATTTTAACGTAATCTATTGATGAATATGTATGACTGATATAATTTCATCTACATATTTTGGGATATTATAAAGCATAAAAATAAAATAACTCGTGCCTGACTGCAATATTTCGGGATGACGTCAAGTTTTCAATACAATATGCATATAGCTCATGCAAAATCGTTCGAGAAATATATATGTGTCAGGTGGTGGTGCAACACATTGAGTTTCACCGGACTTTAGAAAATGGAAACATTGATTCGGCTGCAGTTATCATTCAAACATGACAGAACAAATCATACAGATTAAGATTTATTGGAGATCATATTGTGTATATATCCTTCGACAATTTTTTTCTTCCATTGATTTCAGGCATTTGCAACCTACGGCCCGCGACCTGGTTTTATCTGGTTATTTTATTTTATTCAGTGGGGCTTTTAAAAAATTCGTGATAGAGGGAAAATTGTGCATGACAGATTTACTTATTTAGTTGATTTCAACATATATGATATGTCAATTACATTAGTTCAAGTACCTGGGCAAATTTTTATTGCAGCATTTGTTTATTCTTGTTCTCAATGTAAAGTTGACCAGTGATGTGAGTTGTGTCTCTGTAGATTATTGCTGTTGACTTATAATATTGCAACAGTTGTGGTATTATCATTGGTCACCTATGCACGAACTAAAATTTTATTTCATTAACAAAAGTTCTTTTCTGTTTTGTTATGCTCTTATTTGACACTATTTGAAGTATGAGAGAGAGAAGGAGGTATTCATTTATATTCTATTCCCTACGTGCTGAAGCAAAATATTTGTATACTATTTTATGCTTACATCTGAATGTGGAGATCAATACATCAAAACTTGAAAAACTTTATTAAATATAGAACAATTTTTAGCCACCATTAAAACCATTCGTTTCAAATACTAAAGTGAATATTGACAGATCGACTGAACTGTATGATAACTTATATTTAGAAATGGAACAATCTTGTCCATCATATTTTTGAAGTGGAGGGACATCGGTGTAGATTTGGGAATGGTATTTCTGGACTTGTGTGGGTGTGAGGAACTAGTGAAATCAGTATGGAAGACATTAGTCCAAGCATTCACAAGTTGCACAAATATTAACTTTGACCATCTGGTCGTTCCAGCTGGATCCTACAATACGTTGTTGTATCTGTAAGACAGTATCTTAAAAATCTAGTTTACAGCATTAAACAATAAGTTTAACTATCGTACCTTAGGTCTACTATCATTTGGTTGTTGTTGTTGTTGTTATTGAGTTTAACGCCATTTTTCAGCGCAAGATAGGCGGTGGTTCATAATGGTGAGAACTTTAGACCACTAAGCCACTTAGTGCTCCGGCTCTGATTTATAGAGCAACCGTTATCTTGCCTCTAAATGGGTGTAACATAAGTTAAAGATTTATTTAAATGCAGGTGTGAGTGTTTTTATGTCTGTCAGCATAACTATGTATGTATGTATGTATGTATGTATGTATGTATGTATGTATGTATGTATGTATGTATGTATGTATGTATGTATGTATGTATGTATGTATGTATGTATGTATGTATGTATGTATGTACGTGGAGTGGGGTTGGAGTAGGGGGTGAAGAGGTGGTGGGGTAGGAATGGTGGATTTATTCAATTTCCATTATAGCAGATGAACAAAATTAAATTATCTAGATGTTAAAGAAATACAATATTTACCGGTTCGAACAGACGGTACAAACTGAGAGAAAGAGAGCAGCCACCTGGAATGAAGAATGTTAAAATGTCTATTTTAGGATTTTGATGAGGTGACGTGGACATGCCTAACGAGAGAGAGAGAGAGAGAGAGAGAGAGAGAGAGAGAGAGAGAGAGAGAGAGAGAGAGAGAGAGAGAGAGAGAGAGAGAGAGAGAGAGAGAGAGAGAGGTGTTATACCGACCAAGGGGTGGGGTGAGGAGAGTTTTGTAATTGGTAGTACGGTTATAAAGCAGAATAATGACTTAGATGAGTTGTAAATATATTAAATATTTTAATTAACTCTTGTTGTTTCTTCATTTGGCTTATTTTATATTCCACATTAACTTCCATGTGCTGGTGAATGGCTCAGGGTTCATGTGAATGGCTTAGCTAACCAAGAGTTGCTATGATATACTTTTTCCATTAAAATATTTAATGTTTAAGTCATAACTGTGTAATAATGTTGATTTAAGTAATGTGAAATATAATTAGAAACTAAAAAAGAAAACTAGCAACCTTATTGATATGCAAAGGTGATTGTGAATAGCCACAAAACGCATAAAACTACATTTTGTAGCGAACACACTCGGGGATTGAGTTCAGTCACTCGGTCAATACACAGCTGTCTGTTGTAAATCTTAACATCTTTTAAATGGCAAATAAATGTATTTGTATATGGTATAAATAAAATATATGCATAGTACGTTCGCTTTATCATTGATATACCACTCGTTGTATGTTCGCTGAATCAATGATATGCTACTCGACAAGCCTTGTTTCCTTTTAATGAAATATTTATAAATATTGTGCTATATCATTGATTCAGCACTCTATTCATCTATCTATCTATCTATCTATCTATCTATCTATCTATCTATCTATCTATCTATCTATCTATCTATCTATCTATCTATCTATCTATCTATCTATCTATCTATCTATCTATCTATCTATCTATCTATCTATCTATGTTGAAATAACGATTTCTGAAAAGAGAGAGATCGCATACATACATACATACATACATACATACATACATACATACATACATACATACATACATACATACATACATACATACATACATACATACATACATACATACATACATACATACATACATACATACATGCATCTGTTTTTTGCCACTTAAACGCGTATGTATTTGTTAGTACTTTTTCGACCTGACTATTCTAATTCACTTTTTTCTATTTTATATTAATATCTACCACAGAAACTTGAAAAGGTGTAAACATGGCTGTTAGGATGATGTATTAAATAGCAATAACTGAGCACGTTTCTGCTTTGTACTCTCCACTGGCTACCCTTTCGATCCAGAATAAAAAACTACCTATCTTTTGTTTGTGTTCAAGTTCGTTGACTATCTCCAGTCCAAAATGTTATCAGACATCACCAAGGTGTACACCCTTTATGTATATCTACAGTCCTCGTCTGATACTCGTATTCTTATTATTGATAGACAATCAGTAATGGAATGGAAATCGTAATAGAATCCATAAGCACAAGTAGACTGTAAAATTTTAAATTATGGAAACTCTTTAGATATAGCCAAGTCTTTCAGACTTTAACCTCCTTAGCTTGGCCCTCACTTGACATGCCCCTTGAGATCGTTCCTCAGACCCAGATTGAATTTCCAGAGGGTAAATTTGCTCTTTGTAGTTAAGGATCTGAACCTAGGTTCAACCAGGGAAATTTTCAGATTACAGGCCATCTCCAGCCCCCATAAGGCAGTCATAATCTTGCATTCGGAATTGTGTTTTGAAAAGGGCTCAATACCTTGAGGTTCCATTCCGAGTACACATGAAAAATAACTTAAGTTTGTATACATCAGTCACATAACATGATGATCTTAGAAGCCTAGCTTCAGAGTGGGCCCATATAAAGATGAATTATTTTCATTATTCCACATTTTATTTTTAAATTTGGCTACTCCGTTGTCCTCTGATGTATAATTATATAAAGTGCTGTCGCTAATTTAAGACAAAATCTCATAAATATACTAAAAGTTCCTTTACCTGTTACAGATTATACAGCGTGAGAGACGAGCGGGCAAACAGTACTATGTACACCTTATTATTTATGCTAAAGAACTGGAATGAACTGATTCATTTCATAAAAGCTGTAGGACGTTTACAAAATGTTGATTTTACAGACTTTTACAAATGATTACAGTGTGCATGAAACGTCTTAAGCCCAAGAAGAATCTATATCCTAAGTTTTGACTTAAGTCTAATGATCGCTGATCTTAATTTAAACTGAATTCCCCTAACCACCTCACGCGGTCAGGTTTATTAATCCGCACGTATAGAGTCAGGAATAAGCTATAAGATTACCGCGGCGTGGTGTTTGATGTCTAAAAATTGCTGAGGGTTAGCGTTAAACTGTTACGCAAGTTGAAATTACAGGCCGGAGACGAATATTACGGATGAGAAACATACAAGGACAGGTGGAAATCAATCTCGCACAGCTAACCAAGTGATGCAATAGGCTATCAAAGGGTCGAGCGGAAGGAGTGTAATATGAAATTTGAATAATTTGATTACTGAATTGTTATTAAAATGTAATTCATAGAATTTCAATCGTTTTGTATATGGACCCATTTAATCGTTGGCATCGTTGACTTGGGGCTCTGGGCTTTACATTTATCTTGCACTAGTTTAACTTCCAACCAAATCGAGTTATGGTGTGTGTGTGTGTGTGTGTGTGTGTGTGTGTGTGTGTGTGTGTGTGTAATTTATATTTTTAACGTAGCTTTAACACATTTTCAGCCATATCGCTACGATGTCCGCAGTGTTGCAGTTTATAGTGATGTCTAGCATTGGGTCATCATGCCGCAGACATGTAGCATGATGTCACACCAAGTTACATTATCCTGAAACCAGGCCGACCAGTCCTAATACTAACCTCATAATGCTGAACGCCAAGCGAGGCAGCTGTTAGTACCATTTTTGTAAGTCTTTGGTATGACTTGGCCGGGGATCGAACCCAGGACCTACCGCATCCAAGGCAGACGCTCTAACCACTAGGACACAGGATCGATGAGCCTGGGTGGAACTCCTACAATAGTTTAAATGAAATATTGTGAGCACAAACACAAACATTTTGTTTTTGACTGGTATGTTAGTTATCCCTTGTATGATTTATATTTTAACTGCCACTCTCCAGTGTTTGTTTAAGATCGTTCGAGTATACTAACTCGAAACTGAGTAAAGTAACTCAAAACTAAATATACTAACTCAAAACTGAGGTAAATCTTCAAGTCTGATCCTAAAGACGCAAACTCATAATTAAATTTTAAGTACGGAGGAGAGTGGGCATTTGGTAGAACATGAATAACAGAACACAGAAGCAAATAACATAACATTGTCTGAAAACTTTAGAATCGATAAAAGACAGACATTTTGTGAAACGCCAGACCAAATATCACAGGCTCTGTATTTCGTTTGTTTAGAACTCAAATTTTGTGTAGGTAATGCTAGTGGGTTGATTGGTTCCTATTTTCAATATGTGTTTAAAAGGAAATAACACTAACCATAGTCCGTGAAACGCTTTAGTTACGGTAAACATCTCCCTTTCCTATTTTGGGTAGGACCATGGCCGATTTCTACTCAAGAAAAAAACCATGATTTAAAGACAACCTTGAAATACAGAACAATATGCAACGTCTGATAAGTATAACCTCACAAAATGTACTGAAAATATAATATAGTATGATCGTGGGCGTCATGCCCCACTGACTTTCAGGGGTCACCTGCCATCAGCCTCTCCTGCTTTCCCAGTACTTTCTTTATCCAAATGAAATACAAGCATGTGTAGTAACCACGCAATCAACGTACGTGACCAATCAAGTAAGAGGACAGAAGGCACAATCGTCTGTCAGTGCCCATAAGGGTCAAGTGGAACCAAAGCCCACGCACGTATTAGTGTGCATTTTTTGTCGAAGCTACTATGACTTCGGGGAATTCTTTCTTTTTTACACACTTGTATCAAGTTTTCAACAAACTATTATCTGTACACCGAAAACCCCCAACAAACACAGAAAACAAAAACCAAATAAAAATACAAACACCGAAATCGAAATCAAAGAAGCAAATCAACCAGCCAATTACCCCTCCCGCAAAACCCCCAACACAAACACAAAATAAAAAACCCACAAACACAGAAAATAAAAACCAACTCAAAAACACCTAACAATAACACTAAATCCAAAAAACACCAAACAAGAACACTTAATCCAAAAACTAAACACAAAATCAAATCCAAAAACTAAACAACAAAAATGCAAAACTCGCCCTACAATATACCAAAGAAGTGGAGAAATAGGGTAGCCTGAATATAGAAAGTCGCAAACAAAGTCGCTCCAAAATATGATGCATGCAAACAAACCAAAATGTGTATTTAAATACCACCTTATATGACACGTTTCAAAGTATTGGTGTTCGTGTACAAACATCGGTTGCATTATATATACTCCAAAGAAAGCATACGAACGCAATCTGTATCCGCACATCTCTATTGTCGACTACCTACAAAGGCACGAGGGTCGCACACATTTGTAACCACTCTCGGGTCTTCCAACATTTGTCGACGTATACGTGTTAAGATAGTTCAGTTTTGCCTATTACTACTGCTGGGGTGGTGGTCAGATGCCACATCTGCTCCATTCTTTAGCCTCACATCTTGCATGGACCTTCTGAATTTCTTGTCTATGCAGATGTGGTCAATCTTAATTCCTGTCACATGGTCTGGTGATATGTCTTATTGTCGATTATATTGTGTGGAAAGATGGTACCCCCGATGACCAGGTTGTTCAGTGTACAAAGGCATACAAGTCTCTCCATTCTCGTCCATCTCCCGTAGGCCGTGTATCCCCATGGCTTGTGTTGTCTGACTCAGTTTTGGCATTGATATCGTACATGTCTGGGAAGTTCTCTACTATGTTCTGTCGTCTGTTGTAAATCGGTTCTCTTTTTCTTTGCCGTCATTTGTTGGAGCTTAGCAAAGATTTTGTATACAAGAAAGACAGCATGTTCTATACAACCGGTGATAGAGGATCTGCTCACTCTCCAGTCCCCAAACATTTGTCGACAACTTACACGTGTCTGAATACCTTCGAAGCAAGGATCTTGTATACACGAAAGGTATTTGGTCACAATTTATTGTACTTCTTGATGAAGGTTAATAATATATGGAAAATTAAATAGTGTTACGTATATGTAATTTAATTGTGTGTTAGTTTTAAATTTGTTTTATGTTTAATCCATTACGGTATTGTAATTATAACTTTATTCACTAAATTTGATTTTTTTTCGGAAAATTTTGTCTTTTGGTTTGAACTGATTAGAACGCAAAAGTGTTGCTCTGTTAATATTTTTAGCTCATCTTGGTTGAGAAGTTTGTAAACATTAAGTAAACATGATTGGTTATTGCCAAGGCTATGTTCGGTCCACGTATTAGCCATGTAGTAAACAGTCTTTTTATTATTTATTTCCAGCGTGAGGGTTTGAATGTTTGATAGGGCTATTTTAGAATACGTGCTAACAGGCATTTTTTTTTACTGCGCTGTTCAAATTAGTGATTCAGCAGCTCGTCCCATGGGCCACCATGTGATCTAAATCTCGGGTTAAAACTGTTAGTTGTATTTGGAATTTAATTCTCAACAATAAAGTTCCTATTAAATTTTCATAGTACAACTTAGAGAATTACATTAATTGTTGATTTCTTATTTCGGTTGCTTAGTTTAAAATTACATATTCGCTATAAAGGTACATTCAGTTCCATAGTGAGTCGAGCAGCTATGCCATGCAAAGAAGGTTCACTTGAGGAATTGACGTGAAGTATTTGTACTAAGTATCACGTTTTATACCAGTAAAAGTTCCCAATTTGAAAAATATTAAATTTTACCGATTTCAGGGCATTACTGCCGCAATCCAGGTATTGGCAACCCACGTTTACGTTAAGCAATACAGTTTAAATGCACCTTCTAAGGCTCTTGTAGGTGTTACGATGACCACGAATATCGCCCTTAAATATTATACGACTCTGTTGGGTGTTACGCTAGACCACGAATGTCGCCCTAAAATATTCTACGGCCCGATGAGGTCTTACACTAGCTACGAATGTCGCCCTAAAAGATTTTAGTAAAAGCTGACATTGAACCAAAAAAGTGACTTCCTTTCCAGAAAAGACTCTCGCCATTACATGAGGACTAGGCAGCATAGGTACGGCTTCAATACAATGTCACTGTGACAGATTGGCGGCGTGCAAAACACACCAACCTCTTTTACTACGGTTCGTTGCTAGGGAATGACCTCCGCGGTGTAGTTTACCCAGTGTGGATAGATAGAAAGAAGAATGCAGATCACTGAACGAGTATATTGAAGAAATAACAAAACGAGCCCCCTTTCAATTAACAAATATAAAATTTAATCAGTTTATCAACAGAATTTAAAATGAAAAGAAAGTAATGACTTAGTTACAAAAGAAGGAAAATGGTACTAACATGTACTCAAATAAAAGACAATACAAATTTCTTTAAATGTAAAATTGCTTTCAACGTTAAATTGCTATCCTCATTGCCAATGAGATGTGACCTTTGAGTGTAACGATGAGAGACTTCATCACCTAATTTATGCAGACATCAAGACTTCCGTTCGTCCCTGCTCTGTCGATCTTTGTCTAGCTTTTCGTCTTGGACTCTTGTCCGTCGAACTCTGACTTAACAATCGTCTCTGGACTTAGATTTCTGCGTAGATCTTGTTCTCGTCCTGCGATTGTTCAGGGATTTCTCATGTGAATCCAGGAAAGCTGTTTCCTTCAATAAATAAAAATGTCTCGCAATAGACAATAGGTCACATTCCCAAGCATATCTATATTTTACATTAATTCGGCTTAGAAAACAAAAGACATAAATTCTGCCGCAGTAACTTCTGTTAGCTAACTGTTATGTTTACATAAACGGTCGATGCTTGTCCTGACCTTAATTCAGGTCACGCTAGGGATGGTCAATTAAATTCAACTCAGCCGTATGAACCCGTATCTAACCCCCACTCGATTGCTGACTCTACCAATCTAGCAGTCTTAAGTTACATATGCTTAGACCCTCAGATCTAACTATTCTAAAATAGTTTACTCGACCAATTAGATATTACAAACCTGCATATAGATATACACTTAAGTGATCAATTAAATATTACAAACTAGTACATGAATATACATGTAATGTTATGTCATACTCATTTTAGACAGAGTTAATCCATAAAACTATGAAATATTACCCATCATTCCTTAAATTCATTTAAATTCCTAATCACTCCTATGTATTCAAGATTCAATTACATGCAATCTTGTCAACTAATCTAAAGAAATTTTAATTACATTCAATCTTGCCAATTCTCCAAATGAATTGATAATTAGGAAATCAAAGAATAAAATGTCATGACTAGCATTTCACTAAAATCCTGAAAAATGAAATAATACATACATATATCATATCAAGAATACATTTGCAAAATAGATCAACAAATGAAATAATATATTAAAATCGGGAAACTAAGATTGCGTACCTTTTGCCGTTTCTTTATGTTTCCACGAACCTCACGTATAATCCGTCTCCTAACTGAGAGAACTATCCGGCCCCTTACTCAATAACGAAAACGTACTTTCTACGAATTTCGGAGTCATACTAACTTTCCTTGCGAAAGATCGAAGACGACTAAAGAATTTCCCTAAAGTAAAACTTTTAATTTCTTACAGAGTTACGCCCATAAATCCATATTAATCAATCGGAATAGACAGTTTCCTAAACCTGTTCGTAGAATGTTTGGATTGACAAGAAAACTAAACAACTAATCATGCCGTAATTTACTTTGAGCTATCATCTATAGCCAGATGCCGCCTTTACCCTGCCGATTTTGGGGAAACGTCTTATGTCATTCTCTTGTACCATAGCATCTGACTCGGTCATGTTACGTCGGCTAGAACGAATTCCCTTTTGACGTTCAGAGATGAAATGAAAATAATCATCTATCTATCTCT